GCAGGCGACTTAATAACATGAGAAAACTATAAGAGCGCTCGTTGGAAAGATAAGCGGTTCTCGAGTAATTTACTGATAACTGAAGACATTTGTCGTTTCTCTGTTACGCAACGAATAATATGTAACTTTTCATGCATAATACGTTACGTAATAAAAAAAATCAATATTCTTCCAGTTATTATGATTTTTTTTTTCAACTAATTTAATTGTACAATTTTATAATTTCTCTAATATATTACAATTAATGAATTATATATTTTTGCAACAAACATTTTCATTATATTTTTCTCTTTTTTTGTTGTTGCTAATGATGAAAACCCACACGGTTTTTCAAATCCTTTTCATGTGTGCTTTGAAATTTACCAAAAAAAAATAGTAATAATAATAATGAAAAACAGAACACTTCGATGATTTTTTTGCCAGTCTCATTCCCTATTTATGAAATCGGCGTTTCCACAAACGTAAAATAATTGTTTAGTATTGCTATGAAACTACAAATAGAAACTACTGTAAATGACATTAATAAATATCCATATTTGCGCATTTCTGCATTTTCAGAAACATAAAATAATTATATAATTACCTCAAGAAAAACAAACAGTATCACGCAACAAAGAAAACTAAATAATCTTAATAAAAAAAATAAGTTTCTTAATTTTAAGTAAACTTTTCTAACGATTTTCTAAGAAGATCATAAAACAAAACAATTGGAATTAATAGAAATCAACACACTTCAATGTTTTATTTTTTGCTGTCTCATTCGTAAATAGGGTGCAAAAACTAACAATATCATGCAACAAACAAAACTAAATAATCTTAATAAAAAAAACATATTCCTTCATATTAAGTAAACTTCCTAACGAAATTCTGAGAAAATCATAAAACAATAAAAAATTCATAGAAATCAGCACACTTTAATGTTTTATTTTTTGCAGTTTTTTAACTGGAGAGAATGCTAAATCGTCCTGGACTTATGTTAAATTGGAAAAAAAACAGCGCTTTTTGCGCCCCTTGTGTGGGGTGGTAAATGGCAAAAACTACATGTTTTCTAGAGACGCCATCTTGTGATCGAATAACAAATTAATGTGTTTTTAAATATTTAATCATTTTTTCGCAATTCGTTAATGTCCTTTATTTGTAGTACTACACTAAATACAATAATGCAAATATATACTGAAAATAAAAACTCCTGAAATATAAGAAAAAATAAATATAACAAGAAAATTTTGTTTTATATAGAAAATATTTATTAAACAGAAAAAATACATCAAATTTACGAGAAATACCTATCTACTAATTATGTATTACAAATTTTGTTCTATTTGTAAAGCCAAGTCTGCTAATTCCTTAGCTTTCTTACTTTTCTTCCTCTTACTTATAACCTTTTCCTCTGTTTGTGACAACATCTCTTCGATTTTTCTCGCTTCTTCTTCCGTTAATCTGTCTTCCTCTTCTATCCTTTTTCGTTTCCTTTTCTTCTCTTCATTTTTAGCTGCACGAGCTTTTTCCTCTCTTTCTTTTTGGACTTTCCTCATATTCGCAATTTGTATGTCCAACTGCTTCTCCCTTTCCGATTGTTCTTCCTTGGTCTTAATTTGGACATCACTTTGTTTCTTTAGCTCCTTTTCTTTTTGTACTTTCTTCGTATTCGCAATTTGTATGTCCAACTCCTTCTCCGTTTCTGATTTTTCTTGCTTCGTCTTCATTTGCACATCACTCTGTTTCTGCTTCTGTTTCATTTATGAGCTGATTTCAATTGGATTTCTATGAATTCCTATTGTTTTTTTTTCTAAATTATGTTCTTAGAATTCCTTTAGAAAAGTTTACATAACATTAATATTAAGAAACATGTTTTTTTTTATTAAGATTATTTAGTTTTGTTTGATGCGTGATATTGTTTGGTTTTTTACGATAATCGTATAATTATTTTATGTTTGTGCTAACTCCTATTTCATGCAACCCTATTAAAATGATTAATATGGAAAAATTAAAAAAAAAATCATTTAAAATTTGTATAAAAATCAAAATATTTTATGTACTTTACAAAACTTAAGTTATTTTCGTCAGGGGCGACTAATAGCCGAATGGTTAAGTCGCCCCATCAATTGCAATACAAAGAATATTTAGAAAAAAAAAACAACCAAAACATCATAATTCATTATTTCAGGAATTTTTTTTATTGCAAATTCCAAGTTTTGTAACTAAAATTATATTGCATAGAACGTATTACGATATAGAAAAACCTGAATTTGATGGAGACA